ATGCCTCAGGTGCCTCTTGGTGGCCAACCAGCCTCGTTCGTCCCTGCTCTGAGTCTGAACCCTGCCCAGGTTCCACATCATCCTGAGCAGACTCATATGGTTCCCCGCTATCCGAGTCCATCAGCAGCTCAACCAGATCCTGCTGGGCCACAACACATATGTATTGGTTTGATAAGAGGAAATTTGGTATAAATTTTAAATGGTTAAAAAAAGGGGGGAAAATAAGGTAAACTTAGTCAAACTATTGTTAAATAAATGACCGATAATGACAATAATGCAATATTTGTATTAACATGATAAAAGGGAAATTGGATATAAATTGTAAACAGTGATTAAGAAAAGAGGTGCAAAATTTTTGTTATTAAACATAATTAATTTTTATTTTGAATGTGTTATAAAGATATAATGTTGTTGAGGATATTGAAAATAGATAATGGAATGCCATTATGTGGTTTTACCTTAAATTTTGTAATATTTGTTATATATGTATAAAGGGACATTAAAACAACTATAGTTATATGAGGGATGAGGTATGATGATAGTAATATATATAAATATATCTGATGTAAAATATATAACCTGAATCATAGGTGATGACGGTGGAAGGGGTGCATGAAAGTTCTTTGTAACCAATTGACACACTTTTTACAATTTGTAATGGAAGATGTTTTTATGGTGTTTGTTGTGTCTTGTTTGTTTGTGTTTATTCAAAAATAAAAAAACAATTTTTATTAAAAAAATGGACTCTGGATGTCCAATGTATTTGCAAAATAATTGAAAAAAGAGTATACAAATTAATGGATGCTTCTTTACTATTGTGAGGTATGGGATTAAATAACAGAATCTTGAAAGCCTGTTCAGGTATCTCGTTGTTCTTTCTTGTACTAGCTTGAGCTTCTCCTGCTTCCTTCTGTCTCGTGGTTTCATCCAACTTTCACCTAAATAGCCTTCCTTTCCTTCCTTTTCCTCCCTTCTCCTTTCCTTCCTTTCTCCCTCCCTCCTTCCCTTCCTTCTCTCTCCCTTCCTTTTCCCTTCAATAGCTTTTTCATACATTCTCCAAATTTAGCTCACAATTTCTTCAATTGCTCAGCCCCAATTTCCTAACAGTGAGAACAATGAACCAGTTGTTGACCAATGAATAACTCCAGAAGTTGTGAATGCTCCAAGACTGGAAGTTTTTAAGAAGAGACTGGACAACCATTTGTCTGGAATGGTAGAGGGTTTCCTGCCTGAGCAGAGGGTTGGACTAGCAGACCTCCAAGGTGCCTTCCAACTCTGTGATTCTATATCCTGTGTAATTAGAGATGATGCTGGGGGGATGGGAAATCTGCCATTTTTTATTTTTTGCTTTCTAAATAAAATGTCCATTTTAAATTACTTAATTTAAGAATGATTTTATGTTCATGATCAGTGACTCTGGGAGCCATTTCAAGAAGGTGGGCTGGAAATGCCACAAGGAACTGCATGAGTAGGTCAGAAGACCTCTGAAGAGCGTTTCCACGGGGGGGGGGGCTTTAGCTGCCTTTCTGGGCCAGCAAAGGCCATTTTCTTCGGGCTCAGCTGCCCAAATCATAAACATCCATGTTTGTGCCAAGAGACCCATTTGAGTTGGGGGTGGAAAGAAACCCTGTCCCCCAGCTCCTTGCTCTGAGTCTCCCCCATCCCTCGGCTGCAACAGGCACAGAAGCCTCTTAACAGCCAGGCCAGATTCCTTTTCTAACCTACTAAAGTCAGGGTGAAGGGTGGGAGCTGGCCAGAGGCCCCTTTCTCCTCTCCGTTAGAGCTGGGGGGGCAGTGTGTGTCTGTGCAGATCATCCCAGCCATTTTCACAGCAGCTGGCTGAGGTCAGTCGTGAGAGGAATTGTGAGGTGTGTAGACCCATGCTGAGCCTTTATTGAGTGCCTCTTAAGAGCCTCTACATGCTGTAGTAAACAAGCTACAGGAAAGAAACCTTCCCCCAAGCAGCCACGTCTCCCAGCCAGCTCCGTGGCTGCTTCCCTCCCCGTGGCCAGTGGACAGGCCCTCCCTCCCTCCCTCCCTCCACTTACCTTCAAAGTCCACTCGCCCATCTCCGTTCAGGTCAACGTCCCGTATGATGTCCTCTATGTCTCGGTGTCCCACCTGCTGTCCAAGAAGCTTCCTCATAGCTTCTCGCAGTTCGTTGGTGCTGATTTCTCCGTCTCCGTTGGTGTCAAACTGCACAAAGCACACCAGGAGAAACCACAGAGTTGGTGGTTCCCCGAAGGCTTTCCGTGGCCCTCTCAAAGCTACGCCTCCACCCAACCGAGCCCACCGCAACGGTGACCACACTTTGGTTTTACACCTCCTGCTTTCCCTTGAAAGCCATTGGCCAATAGCTACATTAAATGCAATTCTATGCAAGTGTGAGCTGCACTTGCAATTCACAAGAAGAACCGAGACAAGGCCATTCCCAGGGGAGGGAATAGGAGGGAATTCTTCTCTTCAAAGCGGCAGCTGGAAAGCAGGGCTGCGTAGCTCTTCACATGCCGTCTCCAGAAAGTGCTTCGGTGTGTGCAGGAGAGTGAACCTGACACCTGTCTCCAGTAATTTCTCTCAACCCCCTCTTCTCAAGGGCGGCAGACAGGTGCACCTCGCATCTTCCACCATGTGCCACAAAGCATTTTTTTTTTTTTGAGATTCAATCCGAAGCACACCTACTCCAACTAGGGAGGAAGCAGCAACGGGGGAGAAAAGAAGGAGAATAGCAGCACCAGCAGCATCTCCATCATGCTCCAGTAAGAAAAAACCACCATCAAGAGAATTGGGGAAAGAGACTTTTGGGCCCCCCCAAGAAGAAAGCAGAACAACACAAGCCTCCCTCCAGGAGGAAGATGGTTTCTCACCTCCCTGAAGGCATCCCGCAGCTCCTTCACCCCAATCATGTCGGCCGTCTCTGCCAGCAGCTTGGGTCCCATCAGTTCCACAAAGTCATCAAAGTCTACATGGCCACCCACTGAGGATACAAGGAGGGAGAATGTGCAGAAGGCTCTTACAGCTGAGCCCCCCATCCGAACCCAGACTCCGGCCGCACCGCCTGGATGCTACGGGATGTGCACAAGTAGCTCCACATGGGGTGGAGAAAACAGCATGCGCTGGGGGGTGGGGACTCCATGCATCTTGGCCTGTGCCTAAAGGGGCACAGAAACAATTGACGTCTCAAAAGGAGCAGACCACCCATCCAGCCAGGTCCGCCCGCCCACCCACCTATCCCCTGCCCCACTGTTTTGCAACTGCTGGAAGAGGCCTCGGAGTCTGCATGTACAGAAGAAAAATAAGTATTTTCAAATGTCCTACTGAAACAAAGTGTGCAAAATATGAGGCTTGTTATGAATTCATGTCAGGATGTCACAGCACAAATGTGCACTTAAAATAAACTCATGAGCTATAGACCTGAAATTGCAAGGATCTGCTGTTTCCCATGATTATATTTTCCAATCTGAATTTCCTAATTTAAATAGACTCGGCATCCTTTTTCCTGCACCCTTTTAGGCAACCAACATTCTCGGCACACCAGTTCAGCAGGATAAATTGAGATCGAAGTACGTCCGCTGCTTGGCATGGAATAAAATCAAGCAGCTCTGAGTTCAGACTGACTCATGACCAGAAATATTCCCATGATGGTAACATTTACGGCTGTGAACCACACAAGGAACCCTGGATGGCCTCCCTGGAGAAAGAGTGGAAAATATTTTTCTCCAGTGAGCTTGGAAACAGCCTCATAAATACTTGGAAAACAGCCAGAGCAATATTTCTCAACCTTGGCAACTTTAAAGCTTTGGCTCCCAGAATTTCCCAGCCTCCCATGAATTCTGGGAGTTGAAGTCCACACATTTTAAAGCTGCCAAGGTTGAGAAACCGCCAGCTAAAAATTGTCTACAGCAGGGGTCTTCAAACGTGGCAATTGACAGCTGGCTGGAGAATTCTGGGAGTTGAAGTCCACAAGTCTTAAAGTTGCCATGTTTGGACCTCTGGTCTACAGCACTGGTTGCTTTTTTTTATAGCTGATCCTGAACCATCGTTAAAAGTTTTCAAGAAAAGGTTTGACAACCATTTGTCCAAGATGGTATGAAGAGCACTGCCCTGAGCAGGGGTTGGAATAGAAGACCTCCAAGTTCCCTTCCAGCCCCCTTAACTCTATGCTTGGTATAAAAAGAGCTGCTAACAGGACAGAGCGCAGGGCTTGATGAGCAAGAGGGCATAAATGGCAAAGGCCATTGACTGGGGGAGGAGTAGACGGGCTCAGCTTTGAAGCTCAGGTTTATACATGCATGCAGATTAGAGTTGAAAGGGACCTTGTAGGTCATCTAGTCCAACCCCCTGCCCAAACAGGAGACCCTTCACCATTTCTGACAGATGGCAGTCCAGTCTCCTCTTGAAAGCTTCCAGGGATGAAGGTCCCACAACTTCCGAAGGCAACTTCTGTTCCATGGGTTGATGGTTCCTATTGTCAGAAAATTCCTTATTTCTAGATTGAATGTCTCCTTGTCCGGTTTCCATCCATTGTTCCTTGTCTGGCCTTGAAAAGTGCTTTGGAAAACAGCTTGACCCCCTCCTCTCTGGGGCAGCCCTTCAAATACTGGAAGTCTGCTCTCCTGTCTCCCCTGGTCCTTCTCTTCACTAGACTAGCCAGGCCCAGTTCCTGCAACTGTTCATTGAATGTTTTAGCCTCCAGTCCCCTCATCATCCTGGTTGTTCTTCTCTGCACTCTTCCTAGAGTCTCAACATCTTTTTATATACATGTGTGTGAGCTTTGCACACACACGCACAAGCACACACACAGAGGCAAGCACAGCCACAGTCTGGGGACCACTGCAGCTCTTAGCACAGGATTCCTTTTTCTTTTTACATTTCAAGGTAGCAACCTGACCAGACATGCACAAGTGTCACTTTCTCCTTTTTCATAACCTCCAAAGAGTTGCTTCTTTCCCAAAACAAAGCGATCCTTCCTCTCAACTGAGGCATCTGGTGGTTCGAGGCGATAGCAGGTCCCCTGATTAAGTCGGCCTCCGACTCTCCTGCTGCCCTGCTGCTGCTGCTGCTGCTGCTGCTGCTGCTAATTCACTGCAGAATAATTGTTGCTGCCCTCGGAGGAGGAAAGGGCGAGACCAGAACTGAATCGCCTTGCCAGGCCAACTGGAACTGATTTCAACCAAAGGAGCCTGGTTTCCGTGCCCCCAGCAAGACGGCCCTGGAGGAAAGGGTGCAGCAAAGTGCGAAGGCAGATTACGCATGCGGGAGTCACATTCTCCTCTCCAACTGGCCTTGTGATGGGAACTGTGCTTGGGGGACAATCCTTCTGCTTGCCTTGCTCTGAGCGAGCAGGAGGATGTGCGAGATGCTGAGCAGAGCCCTTCCCTACCTTCATTCCCAACAGGCGCCCCCCCCCCAAACTGCAAGGAGCTCCTCTGCCCCGCCCCTTCAGGGTGGGAACCAAGGAGAAGCCCCCTGGGCGTCCTTTGCTCCAGCAGATTGAGTGAGGGGAGCCAGGCTGCCCCTCTCCAGGTCAGCTCTTTGAGGTCTTAAAACCACCTTCTCCCGCTTTCTCCACTCTCAAGAAGCTTCTCTCAATGCTGAAGATGTGTGGACTTCAATTCCCAGAATTCCCCAGTCAGCATTAATGGAGACTTCAACTCCCAGAATGCTGGCTGGGAAATTCCAGGCATTGAAGCCCACATCTTCCAGTTTGAGAAACATGGGTCTGTGGATACAAAAAAATCAAGAGGAATCTGGTAACAATTTCCCTTACTTAACAGGTTTTATCAAAATAAGCTCACTGTTGCTCTTTTGGTTGCCCTGTGTTCTCCTTAAAATGTAAGATAAAATAATAATAGACACAATTATAATAACAACAGATACAATGCCATTACGGCACCTCAGGTTCTGCAGAAGAACTATTGTGTATGAAAGCCAACTATTGTGTATGAAAGCCAGTATTGTGTTGTTAATAATAATAATAATAATAATAATAATAATAATAATAATAATAATAATAATAATAATAATAATAATAATAATAATAATGGGTGGGGCCCGACTAGTAACCAATGCCAAATCCGGCAAAACAACTGGCTGCTGTGATACAATTGTATAATAATAATAATAATAATAATAATAATAATAATAATAATAATAATAATAATAATAATAATAATAATAATTATGGGTGGGGCCCGACTAGTAACCAA